TTGCGATATCATACGATGTCATTGATATCTACAGTAGGGCATAAGAAATAAACGGAAAGTACATATACAGAATTAGTATTTGTTTCATTTGTGTAGAACGGATTTTTCTTATTTTAATACTGAACATATGCTGATAACTAAAAGTTCAATTAAAGAATGTATCCTTTATAGTCTTGGTTGTTCTTCCATACAAATAAAAGAGGTTACTGAAAACTATGTAAAAATCTGAATGTCTAATTTTAATTGCCCATGACGATAACTATGAGTTTTATTTCTCTCTGAATAATTGATATATACTTATTATATTTTAGGAAATTGTTGTTAAGAGTTTATTTCTGAGAAAAAACTCGAAAAACTCAAAAATAAGAATAACGATTTAAATGAAAAAAAGAAGACAAACCGGGACATCGGAGATATCTTGATACACAGTTTCTCCTTCTTTTGACTGAATTGACAAATTCCTTTCTGTCTTAGGCAGCAGATGTACATTCTGTTTGGAAAATGACACAAAGCCCTCATGTCTACGAAACAGGAAAGTTTATAATACATAAATTTTTTTTTTTAATTTTATTTCATAGAATTTATTTTCATGAATGAATGCACTAAGAGAGAGAGAGAGAGAGAGAGAGAGAGAGAGAGACAATTTGATGTTAAAACTAAACCGTTTTAGGGAACTAAATCTGATGCAACAATTAAATAAATTAATGTATTGAAAATGATACAGATTGAATAAAATATACAAACCTGCAATTTTTCTTATATTTGTTAAGAAGAAACCAAATGACAGATGTTAATAAAATTCCAATCAAAAGTCCACTTCCTCCACTTTTAATTACAAAAAACACACACTGCGTGTCTTCAGTTTTCTTTGGCGTGTGTTCTACATGTACTAAATAAATTAATAAGTGGTGTGTGATGCATTCGTTTCATTTTCGGGTCAATACGTTGATATCAGGATTATTTATTAGTATTAAGTGTACTGTGCACAAAAAGTGTACTTCAATAAGTATTTAGGTACCAGTTGTGTGAAACATAACCATATAATGGATTGTAATTCTGAAACCATATAGACATTTAGATATATCGGCAACGCATTATCAATTAACAATAGTTACTAGCACTCCCATTCATATGTAGACTCGATTTATTCTGGTGAAACTTAAAAGATGCCACCGTGTCTAGCATATCTGTTTCATACATGCATATTTTACTTGAAAAAAAGGTCTACCAAATGTTTTTTTTTGTTTTGTTTTTTTTTTTTTTTTTTTTTTTTTTTTTTTTTTTGAATTAGATAATTAAATCTATCCAGCTTCGAAGACGTTTCACAAGTTACAGCGAGTGTTGATAATATTTATAAATTGAACTCGAGGTTATGCCCTTGCCATATTGGAATTCATAGATGACCTCAATTTTGCAGGTATAATTGCTAAAATCATGTGACTGTACATACATGTAACGAGATAAGTCAAAATTAAAAAAAAATCTAATTTTCATTGACCTGATATTAATACAGTACTTAAAGGAATCCTTCATCCCTGTAAAAGGTTTTTTCATTTAAAGAAAATAACTGATATTCCCATTTGGAACCTTAACTGTACTGCAAAGTTAAAAAAAGATACGCATGTTACGCCCCCCCCTCCCCCCCCCCCCAAAAAAAAAAAATCAAACGTGCAAATATAATTGCACGTTATTACCAGACTTGTTTTTTGTAGTCTTTTTCAACTGGTCAGTCGAACAACTGTCTTGTTTACACTCCCTACTGTCACAATGTGCTGTTGGAATATCATAGGCACGGAGTCCAGAGTCGGAAACTTTCGGCTCAGGAAATTGCGATAGTAGCAATGCCTCTGTACCTATGAATATGAAAAGACCAGTTGCAACACACGAAAAATAAAAAAAAAGATGCCAAATTAAACTCATTTGGAGTCTTTAAAAAACGATTTGATGGTTATTTTACCATTTATATTTTTTTTACTTGCCAACTTTTCTTCAGGACATTGAACAGCAGTGCAATCTGAAAGCATAGGTAATCAGAACACTTTATATGCTAAAATAATTCTTTCTTTTAAGTTTAAGCACTATATTTCAAGGTATATTATAAAATCTTCAGATTGTATGTCTTACTTTGAAAAAAAATGTTTCCTGTTGTTTGGTTTCTTCCAACACAATCGGATTCTAGATTTCTAATATTGTCTTCACATCCTGCCTTATTGAAGGAGAAAATCATATCCATCCTGCACAATCTTCGTTTGCGGGTTCCATGTAATATGATAGATTTTTTTAGTGTTTCTAGTTTGATGTCTCCAAAGGTACATGAAGAGCCATTTGTATCGCTAAATGCCATTACATGAAACGAGATTCCTGGAAAAAGAGTTCAAAAGTAAAGTTCGTCAATCCTGGTAGTAAAGATCTACCCTGAAATCATTTTCAATAATCAAAAATCCTTTTAAAAGAAATTTTAAACAATGATATGTGCCCTCCCCCTCCTTTTTAAGTAAGGGACATATTGGACTTTTGGTAGTTTATGTCATCTACATGCAATTTAAGCGTTATTACAGGAAGTGGATAATTTAATGTCGATACTTGATATAAGGACTACGGAAGCCAGTAGGTGCCAGGTAGAAAAATATTTTATCTGGCGGCCGCCAGATAAATAACTGGCGGCCGCCAGAAAGTTATCTGGCGGCCGCCAAATAATTATCTGGCGGCCGCCAGATAAGTTTCTGGCGGTAGCCAGACCTTTTTATCTGGCGGCCGCCAGATAAGTTTCTGGCGGCCGCCAGTTATTTATCTGGAGGCCGCCAGAAACTTATCTGGTGGCCGCCAGATAAAATATTTTTTTCTACCTGGCACCAACCGGTTTCCGTAAAGGACAGTCATAAGTACAAAGAGTATATTTATTCTTTATGAACAATAAAGGTTAGATTAGATTTAAAAGTCAAATTTCAAATATCATGACGTTGTCTACTGATATCTTTAATTTCTTCTGCATTGCAATTTTTCATTTCTCCAAAATATCCTAAAATCCTTAGTGAAGTTTTCTCATTTTTTTGCACAGTTTATTGTTATTTCCATTTCAAGCATCGCGTTGCTTTTTTTTAAAATTTCACATCTTTATTTTCTTTTAAAAGATTATTAAGTGTAGCAAGTTCCGAGTAATATATGGTCATTTTTTTTTTTTTACATCACAATGTACTCAAATATACCGACATCAATAATATACTCAACTTTTATTAAAAACGTGAACCATTATAAACAGCATCGCATCCGTTTGTGAAATATCAAATAGTAATTTTTAAACAATGCATATTCTAATGTCGAATTTCACACTCTTCCTACAGCGGTTTGATAGGCATCATTTCAAACTATGCTAGAAAAACTGTGTGGGTGACATCCTTTTACATTGAACGCAAAGAAAGTCATAAAAGAAAATATCAAAGTTTCAATAAAAGATGTTTGAGAAAAAAATTCTCTTACATATTGTAAACTATCTTAACATTCATTTTTCCCCCAAGTCTCATTTGAAATAGATGTACAGACGTTTCCCACCTAGATAGAAATGATTTACTTCGCTACCAGGCATTTCAAAACAGGTGCTTTCCAAATTTTGCGGACTTTCTTCATCAGTGTGAATAAAGGAAAAACAACTGCAAAGTGACAAATCAATACATATGTATTATATAATCAATATATTATTTACATACGAAACATTTTTTTTTGCTATTATGCCTATCGATATCAAGAATACTAGCTTTTATGTTCGAGGAAAATGAATAATTAAGAATTAAAAAAAAAAGATTCGATATCTTGAGCATTAGATTACCTTGTCTCATTCCAATGGTCAGCTCCACAAACCACAGATAACAGAAAGATAGACACAAACAGAATATCTGCAGAAGTGAGTAAGACTGATAACTGTACTGTATTTGATAATGCATAAATTTGCAATGTTACGAATTTTATAACATGCAAAAATTTTGATATTTACAATATTCACATTGACTATTGAGAAAATTAAGAAGTCTGTGATAAATTCATTTTTCTGATTAGCGATTATTTATTCAAATTTCAAAAATTACAAATTGATAGCTGTCGTATATTGAACAACATGAACATCACTTTCAAAATCAATTCGACTTTCTACGATTTCATATATATTATAAATATAAAAATTCAGACGTACATGTAAATAAGTTATGAAATTAGAAATTCCAGTAATATTATCAAATAGTTTTTGACGATAAAAAATCAACTATACTATCGAACATGAAATGCATTAAAAAAAACATACTCCTTGAAAATTATTTGTTATCAAGCATGAAAAAGGGTATCGAAATAATATTTTAAATATTAAAAGTGTTAGATTGAATTTGCCCTCTTTAAGGTAGATTACATAATATAATATACGTTTAAGAAATAAAGTAATAGTTTGCATGCTAAAAGGAATAATATTTTAAATATAACTACTTACAATGTACAGGGGATATAATCGCCATGGATTATGTTCTCACAAGAGTGCAAAAGCAACAGAAAATTGTAACAGGATTGTGTTCAAATACTGTAACGTTAAACAAATTTTTTTTAACCTTTTATATAAGTTTTTTAATGAATTAATTTCCTGGTATTAAATCCATCATGTAATAAACCATTTTTATGAGGGAGGACATTTTTGTATAAACAGAGGTCATTTCCTGTATTCTTGTATTAAATATTAATACAGGTACCAATGAAAACTCGTTTCTGGAAAGTGGTGGTATGATTCTCCGTAGAGTTTTTTGTTGGTTGTTTACACCCTAACAAAAACATACTAAAGTAAACTATAATAAACTGTAGTATACCATAGCAAACTATAGTTAACTATAGTAAATCAAAGTTTCAACGTTATCACTATAGTGTCATAGTGATCATTAAAGTAATTAAAATTTTCAAAATAATCACTTTAATGCCATAGTAATCACTAAAGTAAATCAAAGTTGTCAAAGTTAAATTGTATCACTATAATTGCATTTATCACCATATTGTGATAAATGCTTTTAATACCAGTGCAAGAGCGATAACTCGTGCGTTCTTGGTAGTGGTTAAACATTATTGAGACCATGAGTTTTAAATAGAGGACGCAATATAATCAAGCACCTTATGACCCCGATTTTCATAGTCTACCGAAAAAGCTAGAAGGGCAGACATGTTGCAAAATTTCATCTCTAGTCTGCACACTTTGGAAGGAAAATGTTTTGACCCACCGTTAAGCAAAATTATTTCCATTTTTGTGCATTATTCTGTTCCAAGGATACGGTTTATAGACACTGTAAGTAATTTATGCGAACAATAACATGATGCCCCTAATTATAAAGGCTTGAATTTATAATCGTTGCACTTTGTGATATCTGTGACTGTACATCATGCGCTGATGCTGTGGATAGAATGACATTGAAAGTCCTTATTCTGGGGCATTCATTTATACGCAGATTTGAGAACTTTGTTTGTATCAACTAGTTCTGACCATCGGGTGACGCCGAATTTAAATCTTAATTCAGAGGAGCTACAGATTTTCTATTTGGGTATGGGGGAGCGTCACTGGCTCAAATTCGTGCGCAAGGCACTCGTTACGTAAGAGACTTGCGTCCAGATGTTGTTTTGTTACAAGCTGTATCAAACGATTTGTGTCGGAGAAACACATCAGTGGAAGACATTTTTCATGAACTTGCGGACTTTGTAATTTAACTCCGTGATGCGGAAGATGTGAAAAAAGTAGTTGTGCTTCAGACATTGCATAGAATTCCCCCGACAAGACGTATCAGGTTTCATGTGGACACAGAGTGCAAGAGAGTTGATGAATTAAATAGACGCATGTCCTATTACTTGCAGAATGTAGAGGGAGCAGCATTCTTTCGCCTATCTGGTTTATCATAGGATGGTATTTCTGGCGGATGGGGTCCATTTGAATAATCAGGGAAATAAGGAATATTATAATAATTTGAGAGCTGTTATTGTTTCCTTGATAAAGTCTATCAATAATGGTGGGTACATGTTTGTGCAGCATTTATATTTAGTCTAACGATACATTGTTCAATTTTCATCTGTTTATTTTCAAAATCCACATATGCAGTGGTGATTTAATGCAATCTAATATAATGATGCATATAGCCATATAAATATTATATCATTTAATTTATACATTTATGACACCCCCGTACAGTTGGGGTTGTTTAATTGGATCCTGTGTATTATTTATTAACAGCTTATTTAAGACTAACCATAAATTTTAGTTTTAGCAGGATTTTACACCCTTATATGGTCGGAGTTTAGTTTTAGCAGGATCTTGCACTCCTATATGGTCGGGTTTGAATTATAGCAGGTTTTGCACTCTTCTATGGTCGGGGTTTACTCAAGCAATATCCTGCACCCCTATATGGTCGGGGTTGAATTTTAGCAGGACCCTGCACCCCTATATGGTTGGGGTTTACTTAAGCAATATCCTGCACTCCTATATGGTCGGGGTTTAATTCTAGCAGGATTTTGCATATGTATGGTTGTAGTTTACTTAAACAGTATCCTGCACCCCTATATGGTCGGGGTTGAATTTTAGCAGGATTTTTCACCCCTATATGGTCGGGGCTGAAGTCAAACAAGATGTTGCACCCCTATATGGTCGGGGTTGAATTCAGACAAGATGTTGTACCCCTATATGGTCGGGGTTTTATTTCAAAGGATTTATTCCCCTAAATATTGGGTTTGTTTAACTGAATATATTGCATAAAATGCATAAGATACATATATTCCAATAGTGTTGAGATTTCTAGAGGTTTCTTATCTATAGAATTGTCAATGATATAGATATTTTTGGAATTCTACATATATAATCACCTCGCATTTATAGAGCAGAATTTAAAATATAAACAGAAATGATATAATTTTAGACACAGTTATAATACACTCCACTGTTATTTATTCTTATCCGGTGAAGTATCATAATTGCAAATAAATGTAGCTGTAAGGTTAGCTAGAATTATATTACCAATATGGATTGGGCATTAAATGATTTAGATTTTAGAAATATCCAATGATATTAAACTTCATGGAGTGTATATTTAATTAAGAAATTCTATTGGTGCCTTTATTGGTCTTTAAGAGCTCTGAAATATTTTTATTGATAATGTTATTACTTAGTGTATATTACATAGATGATTTTTTTTTTATTTTTACAGGAAAATTGGGAGACACTATTTGTAAACATATGCTAGATATTTTGCACTAGGTTTGTGTTGAACGTGGAATATCTAATGACAAGACAACTCTCATCAGGTTTGACTCTAAGGGATAGAATGGAGACAGTTATATCTATGCTTATGTTTTACCTCAAGATACATTGACTGAGCTATGTAACAATCCCAGGATAGGTGTCTAGAATGCTAAACACAAATTAAGTAAAAATAACTAAAAATAAAGTAGATGAAGTTATGTAGCTGATTTTCGTAATCGAATATCTGCCTCCCAGCCAAGAGGGATAACTCTTAAAAAAAAAAAAAAAAAAAAATAAATGATCATTTAATCAAAAAAGACTCAAATTAAGCTTGAAATTCAATCTTTTCGTGCAACAATTTTTATTCACGCAACTCAAGTTCTTCGTAGTCTAGAAACTGGGAAAAGTTGACATTTGTGTCCCATAAAAGTATTTAAAAATCTTTAGATAAATCGAATTCCTTCAAGCTTGCTTTGTTAACCATGATATGAAATTTGAAGTGATATTTGATGTCTTCCAACGATAGCACATGCTTTTTACACTACAGGTATGTGTTATATAATGATTGGAAAAAATATAAGAAAAATGCCATTATGATATGAGTATTAATAACATGCAATTTTTTTCCAAATTCCGGGATACCTATAAATGTTTATTCAGGTACCTTTGGCTAACAACAGGATATTATTACATACTGACAAGCAATCGGTCGTGCAAATAGTCAATTCTGCTAAAGTCAGACTATTGGTTAGAAACTTGTAATTAATATCACTTATGTCACTATTATATTTAAGCAGAGTTCATTAGTTAGTTATTATATCAAATTAAATTGCAGATTCTATTTTACATTGACAGTGGCTTCATTTTTGGGCTTTGGGTCCTCGTGCATCTCAGGTCAATATTGGAAACGATAAGTTTCAATAATTGATTCACACCTTTTCAACAATGTCACATTGGCATCATTAAGCTAGATGGATGAACAAATCACTAACAATAGAGTCTGAACTTGGTACACCTAGCCATGGCCAATTTTTGGTACATTTCAATGGTAATCCCCTAACGACTAACGTGTTATTAGTTATCAAACCCCAATTGCAATACTATTCATTTCTGTAACATAAACAAATACCGTTTTAGATCACACTCTTTTCAGCAGCAGTATTATAGGGCATTCCTGAACAAATTATTAAACAATTGGGCGGGTGGAATCCATAACTATACATGCCTCAAACATTGGTGTGAGATTTGTATAATTAAAATATTATAGCTCAATTTCAATTTTGGCTTAAACGTATTATACATCTATCCATATAAAAATTTTAGTTTTTGTAGATTGTGTGTAGTCTGGGATATAGCATTCATAGGATACTGAGCTACCCAAAGTGACATCATTGGTCCTTGAGGAAAAAGCCCTCGATTTGATTTTTAAAAAAAATGGGTTTGGAGTCAGGGAAATTAGATTGAAGGAATTTGACTCTTTGATTTAGAATAAATTAAAATGCACTTGGGTGGTACATTTCAAGGACCGGGGCACCTCGCCTGGATCATTATTGTTTCATAGTATGGAATGTTCCTGCTTATGCTGCAAGTTATTAGTCCGAAGTATGTCAATTATTTGGTCCGATATAAGTTTATTCCAAGATGAGTCTTGATTTATTAAATGGAACAACTAACAAGTGTCTATTATACGTGAACACTTATAAAATTTGAAATTTAAAGGTCAGGTGGGTGAAATGGAATGAATTAAAAATTAACATGTATACACCAAACACGTTAGTGGCGGGTGAACTTGTATAGACAAGTTCATTTGGCGGAATTCGGGGATTACCACGAATGAGGAATTCTCTCATGTGTGGCTCAAAACTCTGGGTAATCTATCCTCAGTACTGGGGAGGATTAATTTGGGGTTACCTCAGCGGTACCTGAGGGACCAGCTTGATCTTTGTGGGTACCAAAGGCAAGTTTTGGGGCCTACCCCTGGGGGTATTATCCCCATGTTGTTGTTGTATTCCAGGGGAGGCAGGTATAGAGTTAGGGCCCGAGTCAGAACTTGAATTCATTCATTTGATGTGGCACTCACTCTTGTTGGTACCAAGAGGTCTGTTCCCACCACAGTCACCTGTGGGGGCGCTATCGCGCCAAGGATCTAGGGAGGTCATCCCGGTAGGCAGGTAGTGATTCCCTGGGTTCCGCCGGGGTATTTACATCTATGTATAAATAGATTGTGACAAATAGTCGCCACAAAATGTAATCATTGTTTCACAATAAATGTGTAAAATTAATATTTGTTACTATTCATTGCATCTGGGATTAATTAATCATAATTTTCAAAGTTACCACTTTAGTAAATCCAAGTGTCAATGTTAACGACTTATCCTAACTGTATATAATATACTGTGGTTGAATTCTAAATTAATTTCAAATTAATTGCACAACATACATAGTATTCCAGTCTAACATATTTTCTCATTTTACCAAAGTTATTTGTTGATGTCTCGTATTTCAAATAATTCCGTGCTCGTTATATGCAATACAGTTTATTTTAAATTTTATTTTAGCAATTCTTTTTGAAACGTCTTGTTTTTCAGTGACTGCTACTGGATAAACATTTCTTTAATGAATATTGTTTGTATTTCATTTTACATGATCTTTTTACAAGTATATTATTAAATCACATTATATTAATAGCATATAAATACGTAAAACAAGATGTATAGATTTGTCATCTTTTATACAACGATATAAAGTATAATAGATTAATAACCATAGTAAATCAAAGTTTTCACAGTGATCACTAAAGTATTTCAAAGTGTTCATAGTTATCACTATAGTGTCATACTGATAGTGATCAGTATTGTAAATCAAAGTTGTCATAATTATCACTATAATGTCATAGTGATTAATATAGTAAATAAAAGTGTTCATAGTTATCACTATAGTAGATCAAAGTGCCAAAGCTTTCACTATAGTTTATTATATTTTTCATAGTCCCAACATTATCACTATAATTAACTATAGTAAACTATAGTTAACTATAGTGTTTTATGTATAGTTTTCATAGTGTAAAAGTTACCACTATTGTTAACTATAGTAAATTATAGTTAACTATAGTATTTTTAAGGACTAATTTTTTTTACTTGATATTTACCTTAAAAAGCTACCACACACATTTTAGAGTTCTGTATCCTTAAAAAAATACAATGATTTGTTGTCATATATATATGGGAAAGATGCAAATAATTATCAAACATCACCAAACATCTTGGTTGAGCGTCTTTTATCATAGCATCATAGCCATATAAAAAGCATATGTCACTTTGCTTAATTGGAAATCCCCTTTCTCTGCATTTTTAACAATATTATTTTCTTTTGATAAAAACAAAAAGATTTTTCTAGAGTGAATAGTTGGAAATGAAAAGAAAGCTTTAACCATAGTTAACCTCTTGCCTTCTGTTCTCGATTAAGCTATACCTAGGAATAAAACGATTAATAAAGTAACGAATTTTTTGCGCAATTTTGACCGTTAAAATTAAAAATAAGGTTAAAAATGAGGGTGAAAGTTATGCTAAGTACATGAAGTACCAAAGCGCCAACATATTGAATAAAATTAATGTGTAGATTTTGAGATTTTTCTCTGAATTTTCCAAATTTTTTTTCAATCACACACATACGCCCTCACACACCCATAACCCCCCCCCCCCCACACACACACACACATACACAAATAGTCTCTTGTATGTCTTATTTCGTATCCATTTTGTGAGCGTTTTTAATTGCAAATTATGTTGTTTATTTGTTTAGTTCATATAACTAATTTAAATTGAATAATTTTTATGTTTGATGTTTTCATTTAACATTCTTTTCAAATGCTGATAGTGACATACTTTTCAATTTGTAGATTCCATTTTGAATCGAAACCTTGAAATTTAAAACGTTTATCAAGATTCATTTAAATATAAGCATGTACATGTTGTAGAGAAAAAGGTTGTGAATTCTCTAATCGAAAATCAGATATAAAGGACCTCTTTGTATACGCATGCACACATTGCAAAATTTTCGAAAATGTATAAAAAAATAATAACTAACCTGAAAATTAAAATGGCACTACCTGAAATACCGATTTTTTATAACCGTGCTTATATTCATACCTTATCAAAACCCTGTCTTGTCCGCAATTTTGAATTATTTATTTAAATTTCTGTCTGATTTTTTGGGTAAGTTAAAATTAATGGAAGAGCCATTGGAACAGCTACTGTTGTAAAAGAAAGAGTGCACAATGCTGAAAGATTTATATGTCATTGATCAAATTTTTAATTTTTCTTTTAAATTTTATAGCAATATCTCTTTTTTATTTTATTCCGCGACCTTCTTTTTACCAAACAAATTGTAACTTATTAACAAAAGATGCAATATGACTCAACCGGTCATTGTTGCTTAGTGATAGGGCGCTCGCTTTGTGATCAAAAGGACCGGATTTGATTCTCGTTCGCTGCGCCGCATCAAACCTAAGACGTTAACATAGTAGTGACTGTTCCTTCGCCAAACTCTCCGCGCTAGAAATGAAAGTCATGGATCCTTTGGGTGTGACGTTAAAAACCGAGGTCCCGTGTCAAGGAAGGCATTGGCACGATATAGAATCCGTATTGCTTATTACATGTAGCCGTTTTAGTGACAAAGGTTTAGATTTTAACCCCTTCGCCGGTATATGGTGACGTTTCCATATGAGTGAAGAATTCTCGCATGGGACGTAAAACAACATACATTCAAGAAATATGACTTGTAATGAGAAGTGTTGTTTGTACAAACTAAGTATTTTTTTTATGAATAATTAATAAACTACCAGCATTAAGACAACATGTGGAAATTATAAAATTATACAACTGTATATGATTGAAGTAAGAATGAATAATACTTCTCAATCTTGCTTTTGTATATTCTTCAAATCCAACCCATTTTTAATGATTTTATTTGTTTATTTATTCATCTTGTTTTATTTATTATTCATTTTTTGGTAGGGTACTTAACTTTTAATTCTTTTTTCAAATAAATATTTTCGAACTTCTTTGGATACTTCCTTAATTATCTGGGAAGAAATTGGAAGAAGTTGTGCATCATACATAAGCTTATGTACAGCAAACGTTTTTACCATTAGAATTTTGCCTAAAATTGTTAATTCCTTACTATCCATCAATTCAAAGTTGTTTTTTCTTTCATTTAATTCACGGGTATGTTTAGGAAGCATACGAATCATTTCTCGGGAAATTTAGACTTTTTAAAGAAAATTAAGATTGAAGATTTATCTAGGTCGCCGATTGAACGTAAACTACTATTAACTATTACATAAAGACACGGAGTGTCTGAGGCCAAGTAGTGCACCACCACGACGTCATCACGTGACTGCTATTAATAGCAAAATATTCCTTAATAAAAAAGTTAACAGAACACCACTACCCCGGGTTAAATAATTTCTTTGAGTATATAATATAGTTGAAAAACATCTCTTATGCCTAGAAAGTGCTGCTAGAATCCCACTGAACGGTCGGGAAAATAATTATTCCACATATTCGCACGAAACCTTACCCGATGTTTTGCATTATATACATATAAACCGAGATATTTGTTCATACCATGTTTACCTCACGATTGTAGCAGCATTTTCCAAGTATTATAGAACACAAGCTTTCGATATGTACAAATCTTACGTTTTAAATATCCAGCTTAGTGTTGTTCTTTTGCATTATTGTTGTCACGAATGACAGAGGAAAGGCCGACCAGGATACGTAAATAGTTGAATGTCTTTAATAGCAGATATAATCGATGAAAATAAATTAGCATACCTGTTTAATAAACTTTAACTTCACATGAATCACACACAATATTCATGGTATTTGCTTCTAATCCCCCTTTTATGTATCTATTTCCATGCCGTCTTAGTCAAATTCTCCTTACACAACATGATCAATTCTCAAGTTAATTGTAGAACAGTTATGACGTCATCGGTCGGAGATTTTAATTCAAGTGACAGATGCAGCATAACAAAATAAAAACATTTTATTTTTGTTAATATTTCCAAGTTCCTATTCATTTTCAGGAGTGAAATTATATCTCTAAATAACAATATTAAGAAAACTTGTGTTCTAAACTTGACGTCATCTCGCCTACAATGACGTCATATTGTATTGCTTAGTCAAGTCAGATTATCTTAGTGCTACCTAAATACACCTGCGTTTTGTATTTAAGCTTTAAGCAAATGTATATTTCAGTCCCACTTTAACTAAACGAAATACCAAGAATGAAAAAAAATGAACTTTAAACAATTTCACTGGTAAAATTCCAGGCTTGAGTTTTACTAAGATATCTTAAGATACGATAATTTTTTGAACTCACGAAATTCTTATGTTCATACTTAAGATACGTATTGTCTGTTTTACTAAGGCGATCGTAACTTTTCATCGTAAACCTAACTTAAGATTTACCTTGTTACGATATTGGAGCTCTTCTTTGTTTGAGAAAAATATTTCTCTTGGTAATGACGCCGCGCAGCGTGGTTACTTGTTTCGATTTACTCCGCGATCGTCTCACCCCTACTAATGTTATTGTGATTTAAATTCAACGCACGTGGTGTAGGTTGACCCATTCAAAGGTTATAGGGTAGAACCGGTTTTATAAATAAAATTGGCAGTAAACAGGAAATTGCTATAATCTGTTTCTTTAAAAACTTTCTTAAAGGTTTTCAAGATTTTAAAAGAAATGGGTGGGATTTAAAAAAATTAATCTTTGCTTGTGTGATAATTTACGGCAAAAATTGGAGCTTAGTAGTGTTAATTTTCCAAAATCGCCTGATACGCTGGAAAAAAAAAATTGTATATGACAAACCTTTGTTTACCTTATATGGCTTTTGTTATTAATACGCACAGAGGATTTTACCACCAACAATTGACCAATCATTGAATGAATAGTAACGTTAACTTGACACCTTAAATGTTTACATTTTACTTCGAACACGTTGTCTACGATCGATATTGAATGGATTAAAAAAAAAAAAAAAAAAAAAAAAAAAAAAAAAAAAAAAAAAAAAAAACTACTAAAAAAAAAATGTTTATATGAAAAAATATAAAGAGTAGAAACTATGAAAGATACCACGGGCGTTTGTAATTTGTTGTTACTTTGTTAACCAGAAAATGCATATAAAAATGTAGTCTGTACCACGTTTAGAACACTAGCGCTTCAAGGTTAAGGAAAACGAGCAGCATTCCTTACAGTTCATTGGACAACAGTTTTT